CTGCTGAATGTCCTGACTTTGAACCGGAACCTGAGTGACAGCCTGGCCCGTGGCCGCCTGCACCCCGACCTGCAGACCAACCTCCTGCAGGTGGACAGTGAGTGAAGAGCAAAGGTCCCCATGGGGTGGGCACAGGGCAGGGTGGAGAAAGGGGCTCCTCCCAAGGGTGCCCCTCCCTCTCCCAGCACCAACTCCGTGCCAGTGAAAGTTTGGTTTCTTTTAACCAACTCCTACTGGAACAGTGGAAGATCTGCAGATTGGAACCTGTCCTGCCATTTCCTGGCTGTGGCCTTGGGAAATTCACGTCTCCACTCTGAGCCTCGGTTTTCTCACTTGTAAAATAAGATATAGTTGTTCATTTTGCAAACCATTAATTCAACAGTTTGTATTGAATACATACTGTGTGCCAGGCATTATCCTAGGTGCTAGGGATACTGCATATACAGGCAGACAGGAAAAGAAATAAAGAAATATAAAAAAGCAAAACAAATGCTCTGCAGAGCATTAAAGCAGGATGATGTATATGACTAACTCGATGACTGGGAAAGCGTTCTCTTTGGTGACATTTAAGCTGAGATCTGGAGAGTGAGAGAGAGCCCACCAAGCAGAGAACTGTGGCAGGCTTTGTAGGCCAAGGGAACAAATGCAAAGAACTCACTGCAGGAATGGGCTTGGTGGTTTAGGAGTAGAAAGGAAACCAGGGTGAGTGAGGGTAAGATAAGATCAGAAAGCAGGCATGGGTCAGGTCATAGACCTTACAGATTATGGTGAGGAGATAGACTCTAAAAAGGACGGGTGCTTAATTTTGGACACAGCTTAATTTCATAACTGGGAAAGTATGTGCACCTTTGAGGAGTTTTTATTAGAACAATGTATTATGCTAGTCCAAAGGGGATACAAAATTGCATGAGACATGGTCCTTGCTTATTCAGTCTCCCCATTTTACAGATAAAGAAACTGATGTTTACAGAGGTTATAAACTAGTCAAAGACAAACCAATAAACGGCAGAATTGATATTAGATACATACCTGGTTGATACCAGAGACTCAGTTCTTCACCGCATAGCTCTTGATACCTCCTGGACTGAAGCATGGTAGAAGCCACAGACCTAATTCCTCCGTAGTCACACCCTGTGGTTGCTTAGTGACACCTGGATCCCAGCTGATGGGTGATGAGGCCAAGTCCTTGAAAATGAACATTGCTCAACTAACATCTTCAGGTCTCTGTAGAATGTAAGGCTCTGTGCTCAGTTACTGTGGGGGTGAGGGTGCTCATCCCAGCCCTCCCTTGAGGGGCACACAGTCTAAGACAGGTTATGATGAGCGGAGGCTTGGTGAAGGGAAAGTTCACCCACCTGAGGGCTCCGGGAGGCTTAATGGAAGAGTTGACAACTGGCTGGACCTTGATGTATGAGCAGGAATTTGGCATGTGGAGGTAAAGAACACTCTGGACGGGGTTGGGTTGTTGGGGGGAACAGCTTGGGCAAAGCCAGAAAAAATGGCTTAGAGAACAGCCAGGGGGCCAGCTGGGCTAGAGACATTGTTTCCCAAACTTCAGAATTTATCCAGTACCTTCGTGACTTTTGACAGATTTGCACACCATCTAAAACATTATTTACATAATGTGTGTCTACAAATGGATTTCCTTTTTAACCTGAATGTATTTTAAAAGTAAACCTTATATCATAATCACAAATGGAAAAATGGCATCATTTGCCACAAATAGATGATAAACAGCTACAAAAAAATCAAATGTTTCTAGGTTTTAGTTAGACATTTTTGCCCATAGAATGTTCTGAGGTCTGCTCTCTCTTTTAAAGATTAGAAATGTTGGAGACCAGACTGGAACGTAGTCCTTTCTATTATCAAAAGGATTGAAAGTGAACCACAAAGGGAATATATTTCCAACTTGGTGATGTAATGCTATTTAATGTGTGTCTTTATCTCAAGAACTACCCCAAATCATCCCATTTGGGGAAGTAAAAAGATCAGATTTTTGCTGAGGAGCATTGGGAGGTGAGGTTACAGGGCTTACCATGGAGGTTCATGTTAAGAAGTATGGACTTCGTCTAGTTGAGCATGGGAGGGATATGACACGATTTGTTTTATGTAGGGGAGGTGGATTGAAGGGAGGAGAACTTAAGTCAGAGAAACACAAGAAGAAACTGGGATAATGGTCCAGGCAAGAGACGATGAAGACCTGAACTTATGCGAGAGAGTGGGGATTTGTTCATTTATCTAGAAAATACTTGTTTAACATTTACTGTGTCCTCACCCTGTTCTAGGCACTGGGACTCAATAGTGAACAAGACAGCATTTTTGCCTTCAAAAATCTTACATTCTAGTGGACAGAGACACAGTAAATAAGTAAACAAGATGCAGGTAGCAGTAAGTACTTTGAAAGAAAATAAAGCAAGGTAAAGATGACAGGGGCTGCTATTTTAGATAGTGGCCAAGGAAGTTCTTGAAGACTGGAATGAAGTAAGGGAGCCAGTTTTGTGATTATCTAGTAGGAGAGCATTCTAGGCAGAGAGAACAGCAAGTGCAAAGGCTCTGAGGTAGGAGCATGTTTGGCCTACTTGAGGGACAGCAAGGAGGCTAGAGCAGAGTTAAGCAAGGGAGAGAGTAGAAGGAAATGAGGAGAGGAGTTTAGAGAGTTACAAGTTTCCAGATGATTTTGGGCATTAGAGGCCTTGGTAAGGACTTTGGATTTTATTCTAAGAGTCATCAAAGTTGTTGGAAGGTTTTGAGCAGGGCAAGTGACATGGGCTGACTAATGGCTGCTGTGTGAATAGGCTGTAAGGAAGCAGGACTGGAAGCAGAAAGACCCGTTAGTGGGCTATGTGGTAATCCTGGCAAGTAATGATGGCAGCTTGGCCTAGGCAGGTGGAATGAAGAGCCCCAAAGCCAAGCCCTTTTTCCAATATTAAGAATGACTATACATTATCAATCACTTAACTATATGCAAGGCTCTGAGCTTTGTGCATTGTGTGCATTGTCTTCTTTAATCCCTGCAACAACTTTATGTGGTAGGTTCTCAGATAATACCCATGTTATTATACATGATGAGACTGAGGCTCAGAGAAGTAAAGCAATTTGCCCAAGGTCACACAGCTCCTTAGTAGGGCATCCAGGACCAGGACTCAGGTCTGACCGTCAGACTCCTGAGCCAGTGCTCCAAACTCTCTGAATGTGTATATGTTGGGGAATGGTTTTCAGGTGAGTTCACAGAGGAAGAGATTGAGTTCCTGGAAGCCAGGGGTCACCACGTGGAGAAGGTAGATGTCTTGTCCTGGGTCCATGGCAGCCGGAGAACCAATAACTTCATCATCGGTGTGAAGGACCCTCGGAGCCCAGATGCAGCCGGAGCTACCATCCTGTAGAGCAGCAGGGTGGGGCGGGGGTCTCTTCTCCCCGCCTTTGCATGTTCCTAGAGTCCCTCCTTCTCCCAGGTTTGGTCTCAGAGGGACCCCAGGGAGGCCCCGGATCAGGGGCCAGAGGGGATGCTTAGCAAACCCTATCTCAGAGTAACTGGAAAATTCTCCATCTGGAGGCCTGTGGTGGTGGCAGTGGTGGTGAGTGTCAGTGTCCACGACCAGGCAGGCAGGACCTTGAGGAGTCAGACTATCTGTCTGTCTGTCTCCTTTCCCTTAGCCATGCAGGCTCTGAGCTTAGGGCTGTGCTTGCAAACCCTTCTCAAGGGTCCTTGCCACCCCAGCATCTCCAGTTGGGCCTGACCTGGCCTTGTTTTCCAGCTCCCTTCTCCTGTCCCCAGCCTCATTTCTTAAATGACTAGGATTTTTTTAAATGGACCATCCTAGGGAGGGGGCGCTCCTTCCTCCTCCCATCAGGTTGATTTGGGGGCCTTTCATCTGGGGTGGGCCCAAGGTGTGGGGTAGGGGTGGGGGTGGGGACCAGCTCAGGGGCTTCCATTTGCAAAGGGGAATTAAAGAAAGAATATTGCTTAACCATGGCTCTGACTTGATTTATGTTTGGCTGTGTTGGGAGTGGGAGTGAGAGAGGAGACCTTGGCTCACCTTGTCCCAGTAGCCCTGACTCCAGGGCAAGCTGGAGTCAACTTTCTGGGGGTTGTAACAATATCTGCTGTCCATCAAAGACTTGCACTAATAAAAATAATTATAATTATAGATAGAATCTATTGAACACTTAATGTGTACCAGGCTCTATGCTAAATGCTTTATGTAGATAATATTAATTACATTATAAATCTTCATTACAGACTTCATGAGGTTGGTACTAATATTATTCCTATTTTACAGATGGGACACTGGCAAAAAAGATTAAGGGGCTTGTCTAATGTTCCTCATGTATTAAATGGAAGAACTGGGATTCAATCTCAGGATGTTGAACACCTAATCTATGCTCTTAACCATTTGCACGTCTACTAGGTAAAATATTTGTTATAAAGTATACTTTATATAGTATATATCAGACAATAAGTACCTTTTACAAATTATATCGTTCATGCATGAATGTACCTATCCATTACATTACAGGTACTTTGTTAGGCACTGGAGATTCAGGATTGAAAAAGACAGACAGTTTTTTTTATGGATTCGCTGTCTATAGGGAGTCAAACATTAAATAAATAAGGGCACAGATAATTAGGGTAATTGCCATCATGATAAGCTCTATGAGGAATGCTATGAGAATGTATAACAGGAAAGGTAATCTAGTTCAGTTGTGGGGTGGGATCAGCAAAGGCTTCCCCAAGGTAATGAAGAGATGAGTAAGACTGACAGAAAAGGATTAGATGTGGGGTGTGGGAGTGTCATTTTAGGCAAAGGGAACAGTGTGTGCAAAGGTCCCATGGTGAAGAGGAGAAAGAATGCCAGTGTATTCTTCCTAGAGCAGGGGTCAGTCAACAGACTTCCTGCAAAGGGCCAGATATGAATATTTCAGTCTTTCAAGCCATATGGTCCTTGTAGTAACTACTCAACTTTGCTGTTGTAGTGCAAAAGCAGGCATAGACATGTAAACAGATGGCTGTGGCTGTATTCCCATAAAACTTTATTTTACAAAAACAGGGTCCAATTTGGCTTAAGGGCACTAGTTTGCCAACCCCTATTCTAGAGCATACTAAGAGAATAATGGTATGTGATGAAACTGATGAGGTAGGTACAACATTCTTATGAGGCTGAAATTAATTTCTCCATTTTATGGATGTGGAAATTGTGGTTCAGAGACATGAAGTAATTTGTCCAAGGTCACCCAGCTGATAGTTGGTAGATCCATGATATAAAAGCAGTCTGTTTGACTCCAAAGATCATGTCCCTCTCTTCTTTGAAAAAAAAAAAAACTATTACTTTATCTGATTACAGATGTAACCATCATTCAAATATCAGACATTTCATAAGTATATAATAGAGATGATCCATGCCTTCAAAATCTCAACTTTTCAAAAAATCTCATGGGCAATAATTTAGTATGTATTCCTCCAACTACTTTTTTCTGTAGATATAACATATATTATCGTTCTATTTAAAAGTAAAAATGAGATTATATTGGTCACAGTGTCTACAACATCCTTTTTTTTTTTTTTTTTTACTTAGCAGTATAACATGGACATTTTTCCATGTCAATATCAAGATACCTGGATTTACCTAATTATTTATAACGATGCATCATAGTTCATTAAACAGTTTAACCAGTTTCCTATTGATGGATATTTGGGTGGTTTCCAATGTAACTTTGAATATCCTTGCCTGATATCTTTAGGTGCTTGAGTAACACCTGTGGTCATACCAACTCTCCTATGCTGTCTTTCAAGTGATGTTATAGGACCTTCCACGCAACAGGCTTTTGGGGGTTACATGGGTATCTTGGGGTCATTTTACTTCTTAAATATATAAATAGGGTTTCGCTGGTGGCGCAGTGGTTGAGAGTCCACCTGCCAATGCAGGGGACATGGGTTCGTGCCCCAGTCCGGGAAGATCCCACATGCCGCGGAGCGGCTGGGTCCGTGAGCCATGGCCGCTGAGCCTGCGCGTCCGGAGCCTGTGCTCCGCAAATGGGAGAGGCCACGACAGTGAGAGGCCCGCATAACGCAAGAAAAAAAAAAAAAAAAAAAAAAAAAAAAAAAAAAAAAAAAAAAAAAAAAAAAAAAAAAAAAGATTTGTTCAGTGGAACAATTCTTATATATCAAAGCAAAATTCTGATATCTTGGAAAACCTGTTTCTCACTCAGTATATGAAATATCATATTTTATTCCACGAATATTTTCTTAAGTGTCTACTTTGTGCCGTGCACTGCCTGATGCACTGGGAACACTGATGAACAAGACAGACAAGGTCCTTGTTCACCTGGACATTATATTCTTAATTACTTTTACTTTATTCAGGTTGTACTATCTCGATCTACCGTAGAAAATATAAATTTACCTCATATTGAGAAGCTAACTTTAGCTGACTATGAAATAAGGAGATAATAAGCTTATAAATTTCAAGATTTTTTATGATATTCTTCTCTCACACCTCAAAAAACTCCAGGATATACCTGTTTGCTTCTTCAGTTGGATGTTTTTGGTATTTCCTTCATATTTTAGTTAAGATATGAAGCTTCCTAATTTCAAAACTTACTACACTACAAAGTTATAGGAATCAAAACACTGTGGTACTGGCAGGAGGATGAACATATCAATGCAACAGAATTGAGAGTTCAGAAATAAACCTATCTATGATCAATTGATTTTTCACAAGGGTGCCAAGATCATTCAATGGAGAAAGAATAGTCTCTTCAGCAAACTATGCTAATACAACTAAATATTCACATACAAAAGAATGAAGTTTGACCCTTAACTCATATCACATACAAAAAGTAACTCATAATGGATCGAAGGCCTAAATGTAAGACCAAAAACTATAGAGCTCTTAGAAAGAAACATTGAAGTAAATCCTCATGATTTTGGATTTGGCAATGGTTTCTTATATATGACACCAAAAGCACAAACAACAAAAGAAAAAAATAGATAAACTAAACTGCATCAAAATTTAAAATTTTTGTGTATCAAAGGACACTGTCAAGAGAGTGAAAAGACAATCCCCAAAATGAGAAAAATGTTTGCAGCCAAATACCTGATAAGGGTCTAGTACCCCAAACAAATAAAGAACACTTACAGTTCAATAACCCAATTAAAAGATGGGCAAAGGACTTGAAAAGACATTTTTCCAAAGAAGATATACAAATGTCCATCAACAAATGAACTGATAAACAAAATGTGGTATATTCATACAATGAAATATTATTCAGCCATTGAAAGGAATGAAATACTGATATGTGCTACAACATGGATGAACCTTGAAAACATTATGCTAAGTGAAAGACGCCAGATACAAAAGGTCATGTATTGTATGGAGTATCTAGCATAGGCAAATATATAGAGACAGAAGGCAAATTAATGATTGCTTATGGATGGGAAAATGGGGGATTGGGAGGAGGGCAATATCTAGATATCTAAGGCTTTCTTTTTGATGATGAAAATGTTCTAAAAATTTGATTGTGGTGATGGTTGGACCTATCTGGTTGTGACTATACTAAAAAAACATTGAACTGTACACTTTAAATTAGTGAATTGTACAGTATGTGAATTGTATCTCAATAAAGCTGTTTAAAAAAGACAAAGAATATGTCAATATCAACTACAGCTGAACACATGCAAACTCTAAAACCCAGCAATCCTAGCCCTAGGTATATACCTAGCAGAAAATTATACACGCTTACCCAAAGACATGGGCAAGAATGTTCATAACAGTACTATTAAAAATAGAACTAGGGACTTCCCTGGTGGTCCAATGGTTAAGAATCCACCTTCCAATGCAGGGGACGCGGGTTCAATCCCTTGTCGGGGAACTAAGATCCCGCATGCCATGGGGCAACTAAACCCACACGCGGCAACTAGAGAGAAGCCTGTGCACTGCAACTACTGAGCCCCATGTGCTCTGGTTCCTGTGCGCCACAACTGGAGAAGCCCACGTGCCACAACAAGAGAGAAGCCCGAAACAAAGAGCCCAGGCAATGAAGACCCAGCACAGCCAAAATTTTTTTAAAAAGACCTAAAGTGGAAACTGAAATGCTCATCATCAGTAGAATGGATAAATTGTGACAAATTCAGATAATGAACCATATGAAGCAATGAAAAGGAACAAACTACAACTACATGCAACAATATAGATGAATCTCAAAAACACAAAATTGAGCAAAAGAAGCCAGACTCAAAAGAGCACATTTTGTATGCTTCCGTTTATATAAAGTTTAACACCCAATGAGACTAATCTATGAAGTTAGACGTCAGAATATTATTTACCTTCAGGGGTGTGGGTAATAACTGGAATGGGAGAACAAAGGGGCTTTTGTGGGGCTGGTA